ATCACTTATTAAAATCTTTTAAACATTTTAAACCACTTGTATAGACTTAATCACAGTTTTTCTGTTTTAGCACTTCAAATAATTGGCCTGGCAAGTTTACAACCAATTAAACCAAAATGTTCTCATGTATTTAAATATCTCTTCTACATCTAATAAGTTAAACTTATAAATATAATGAATCTATCCTAATACTGTTAATGAGCTAAGTCAAATTTTCTTATCTCTTTCAACTTAAAATCATAAGCCTAAGATAAATTTAACATTTTAAAATCAAAAGTTTCCACTGAAAAAAATCACTTAAGAAACACACACCAGATTATTCCTAAGCTTAACATGAAAGTACCAATGTTATGGGTATGATTTATTTCATCATTGCCATATTTAATTCTAAAGAGCCCCAGATGCGTGAAGTCACTCAACAAGGGAGCAGGTTCTCTGCCGGAAGGGAGTCAAAGTTACCGGTCAGGAACTCATGACGACAATATGGTGGACATCTCCGATAAGCTGAGGTTGCTGAGGAGCCAGAGTTGGAAGGAAAGCGAGCACTGGGACCCTTTCTGTGGTCTCTATGACAACCGGGGACACCCTTCAGGGGCTTTTGATGTTAGAACCTTAATTCCAGTGACCTCTTATTTATTTTTCTTTACTTTTAATTATTAGAATAGATGGAAGTCGGCAACTCCATCTCCACCCAAATTAGCTAACTTCCTCAATGACTTCACTGGCTTCTTGCTTAGTTGGCTCCCTGCAGACATTGCTGGCATATTTCCACGCTGCTCTGAGGGAATTTTAAGGATGTTGAGTATAATCCTGAACAATTGGCTCTGCGCCGTGACTCTAAAATCACCATACTAACACAAACCATTCCCCTTCTTTGTGACTTTTTAGGCATTCCCCAAAGGGATTATAGCATCTCATATTTCATCAGAACTACTGTATGTAACTCGGCAGGACCTCTGCTGCAGCTGCTGGTCCCCCCGAGCTTCGCCTGCCCCGGATGTCCTGTACATGAGCTAATCTGGCCTCAACTTTAGGTGCATCAGCCTGTTCTCCGTCACCATCCCCACTCCCCCTGTCTTTACTCACTGCTTTCTAAGAGGCAGATAAGTCCTCCTTTTTGGAGTGTCCCACATTCCTTGTGTGGGCGTGAGGGCTCCGTAGCAGCTGAGCTGGAGCAATGTTTGTTTTAGACTCTTCGCCGTTTGTAGGTATGTGTGGATTGAAATCTTACAATTGTTCTCATTTCACCAAATGATACGAGCACTCTGCTGATAGCTGGCAAAATAAGTTAGTTTATATTTCTCATGCCTTTCAGCCAAAATACTCTTTGATAACTGTGTTTTTCTTCAGGTTATAGATGTTACTAAAAGATGTTACCAATTTTTTTAAAAAAATATATCATATCAGTTTCAATACTCTGAAAACTCCTCTATTTAGAGAAATGCATTGGGGGACTATCTTTCTAAGGTGAATAATCACTCTTAGTTGACACATATGTCTTAACATGGAGTATACTTTGTTGATGTTTGAACATGTGCAATAACCCATTTTCCCCCAGTTTCACTGACCAGAAAACCCCTCTTCCTTTCATAAGTGGAAATAGGGACCTTCCTTCAATACTGCTGAGTTAGAAGTTTCCATTTTGTGAGCAAAGGCAGGAAAGTTTAGAAAGAAGGGAATTTTAGTCTCTCTCTCTATGTATTTGTATTGATTTTCTTAATACTGTTTTTAAAAGCTATCAACCAATTGCCAATATCAGGCAAATAGCAACCAAACTTCGTGTAAATGTTTCAAAAAAGAATCTTCATGCTTTTCACCGTCTTATTCTAATTTCACCCGTTTCTTCAACTTCCCCTCCACTCCCCTCTTTTTCCATTATATCCGATTTTATATCCCATGGTCAGAGTTATTTGTTCTTGAGAAAGAGACATCTAATGCCTGCCCACCACCTGGTGTTCTCTCCTTCCAGGCTCAGAAGGACGACATTCCTCCGTCCTCTGCTGAGGCCATGTGACCGGCCCTGCCCAGTGGGTTGTCAGAGTGAGGAAGCCCCTCCTGTGCCAAGGGACGTCACTGTTGGGCTGAGCCCCCCCAATGTCGTCTTCCCCGGAGTAAGGGGGCGGGGTGGCCCGGATGGTGCAGGCGCAGGAAAGCTGAGTGACCCGTGGAGAACGAAAGTCATAGCGTGTTGCTGGGGTCTGCAAGGGGCTTTGCCCAAGAAATGACCTTTTATCGTGTTCAGTCACTGAAGTGTTAGAGCTATGGACTGCCACAGCCCCATGGTCCTTAAGTGGGTGCCCGAGCAGCCGTACGACATCACTGGGCACCACCCTGTCACTAGATCAGACCCTCTGGAGGTGGGACCAGCGGTCTAGGCCCAAACAAGCCCTCCAGGTGGCTGCGATGCAGGCGGATGTTTGGGGACCACCGCTCTGGCCATCCTGGCCAACCCAGCTCTCGACTAACACTTCCCTCTTGTCAAAGCAGGAGTCTTCAGCAGAGTCCTGTCAATGGGACCCAAATCATTTTCTAAGTTTCTTAATTATTCTTCCTCACAGTGATCGATTCATTCCATTATTCCCCTCTATTTTAGGGTCTCAAAACTACAGAAGGATCTAGAAGCTTGTCAGACCACTCTTTCTACTTTGAACACAGTCATTACATGACTGCATTTAATGAACATGTAAAAGAAAACTAAGAGGAGCGTGGGGCTGCAGAGGGAAGGAAGAAAATGACCTTCACCTGTCCAAGTGCAGCTGCTGTTTGGGGCCCGCGCTGATCGTCGAGGTCGGAACAGCCGCAGAAATGAGTCAGGGCTAGACGGGCTGCAGGGGCAGGCCCGCCCCCCGGGCGTGGGCAGGGTGAAGTGCTTTCTTCATTTCTGCTGCCTTCTCTTTGCTCACTGCCCAATAAGCTCCCTGCAAGCAAGTTGAACCCTGGACTTATGTTTCCTGTGGTTCCCATCCATCCCCCAGAGACAGACCTGCCGGTAAGCGTGTCTCAAATCGGTACCTTTGTACTTTGGTTCAGCATCTATGACAAATCAGGCTGTGTTTCTGGGTGTGGTGACCTGGAGGGTAGCCAACCCTTTGCAATCTTTTCCTCAAGGGCCCCTAACTCCTGTGCAGTCTTGACTTTTTCTTTCCCCTCAAGTGGCTTTGTACTTGAATGACTGTACTTGAGCCATCCCCTCCTCCTTCCCTTTTCCCCCCTCCCTCCCAGCCCCACCACTGACCAGATTCCCTCTCCATCCCCCACCCCCGGAAGCAAAGTTCTCAGCTGTCTGGAGCAGGGTGACCTAAAACTACCAAGGAGCTCCTTGAGCTCAAATACAATAGTTCCCCAACATAAGAAATACAAGTTTATATATATAACTTCCATGTTTTGTGTTGTGATGCCAAAGTGTGTCTATTATCCTGATGCGTGGAACTGGGAGTAACTTTTTCCTATTAAAACAACATGAAGTGCAGTGGTTAGGTCCCCAGTCCAGCCCCGCGAGTCTAATAAAGCCACAGGTAGTTAAAGGGAAGCCCATCAACAATAAAGGGTACAGGACAAACACCTGTCACAATACTGGGGATTTTTTTTTTTTACCAAAAACTATAGAAATAAAATGTAAGAAAGTTTGTATTTATTAAAATGTGTAGAGTTGGGGGTTAAGCATGTGTAAAATAAAATGAGGATAAGGATAGAAGATTTTGGAGATTCTAAGAGAGACTTCTGGGTACTCCCAAGGACTTTTGAGAATGAGGGCAAAGGTTCTTGTAACATCTAATCATGTGTTGAAGAGAAAAATAAGTTTTCCTTTCCTCTGACACAGATATGTCACCAGTTTTGACTCTCAACCATGATACTAAGGGTTCTTCTTGAGTTGTGCGACTCACAAATGGAATGAAAAGAGGCGAGAGAGATTTTCTTGAGGGAACTGTGTAAAAAAATGTGTGCCTATATGTACACGCACACACGTGAGAAAAGGGACAGTAGTAGGGGGTAAGGGGGGAAGTAGAGTTGCTTGATGAACAATTATCTGGGCTGTGAGTGGGCCTGTGTACACAGTCCCCCTGGAAGGGGGGACGGGGTGACAGGTGAAAGACTGGCATTTCCAACCTAGTGCCTGTGACCCTATCAGCTCTGAACAGCCAGACTGCCACCTAGAGGGAAGGGACAAGTATGATTTGTGGGGTGGAGGGGAAATGAAGGGAGACACAGTAGCGCTGTGTATAAAAGCCAGTTCTCTCTAAGGGGAAAAAGACGTCCTGATTTGTAGTGTCATTGATGACGGTGACGTAAAGGTTCCCACGGTGGGCATTTTCGAGCTACAAATGGTTTAATAACTGGTTCACAAATTCCTGAAGGTTTTACCAGTCGACTTCCACAAGCTGATGTGAGCCAGCTCCAACGACCGCCGGACAGCGCCACTAACCAGTTCTGTCTGCAGATGGTTGTCAGTCCGTGCCCCAGCCCACTCAAGCACGCACTGTTCTGTGAGCGTGGCGTTTTAATTATTTTGATGACCGCCTATTCCAAACCGGCAGAATATCCATGAGGTTCAGGAAAAGAAGGTATCTCAAAAGCACATTCTTTGCCTAAAAGCCACCAGAAAATCTGAAAGCAGAGGGTCATTTGACTAGTCTTAAGTTGTTTTCTTTTTATTTCTTATTGTATTTTTTTTTCCATTACCATTTAGTCTAAGTTTAAATTCAAGAATCATCACATAGCTGAATTCTTGGGACTACACTAAATTTTCTGATGACTGTGCTCTCTCTATGAGCGTTTTAAAAGTAAAAGAAAAAACATCACCTGTGATCGTTCTAGAACAATTTTAAAAACTTAGAAACCAGAGCATGTTCTGAGTAGACCCGCATTGCCAAAGTGGACGAGAAATGGAAGAGAACAGACCTGTTGCTCTTAGTCTGTATATTCACCTAGTCACGCTGTCTAGCAGAAGCAGGGATCTCAGGCTCAACGTGCTGGAGAACGTGGAAAAGTTTCTTCGCACATGGAGCGCCCCCCCACCGCATTCCCCCCAAGCCAAGCACCGGAAGACCTAACACCCAGAGGGAAGAGCCACTCGGAGGCCCACCCAAGAGGAACGGGAGAGGAGAGCAGGCACATTAGCTGCCCGCACCTCCCTCCTGGTCTCTGGCCTACACAGTCACCATGATCTGATCCAGGGGTTTCCGTTTGAGGTCGGGCACCGTGGCCTCTTTGCCGGGGTACCCCACGGGGAGCAGCATCAGCAGCTTTTCGTTTATGGGGCGGCTCAGGAGCACCCTCAGACGGGGGCCACAGTTGAGAGGAGTGGTAGTGACAGTCACCAGCCCTGCATTCTGAAAAAGGAGAGAAAAAGTGTACATTAAGAAATCAGCAGAGAAGGTCACAGCTCTGCTTCAAGCCTGGGGACATGCTAGCCCCTCCTAGACCTGTCCTGTCATTTCCCTGAAGCTGGGCAGCAAAGAGGCCAGGGTGTCTCGAATCTCATGTCCTCTCCTCGACCTCCCCAGCGCCCACATTCTTTCAACCAAACAGGAACCTTCTCAAAGAAGAAAAATACCAGTCTTATTTTTTCATTAATGCTTAAGAAATAGGAATGTTTATTTCATAGAAAGAAATCTGGGAAATCTAATTACACCAAAGGAAAAAAAAAGAACAACAAGCAGTTCCTGCGATCCCACCATCATGGCCAGAGCATCATCCCAGCTGATAACCCTACGTCCAGTGAAAGAGGACACAGCAGCCAAGGGAGGAGGTGGGGTAACTACTTCATCAGCCTCTCTCCAAGCGCCTCCACATAATAAACATCTAATAAAAATCACATATAGCTTTAGGACACCTCCCCAGCTGGCCCTCCTCACCCTCTGCCCCTCGACCCCCTCCCCCCACCTGCCCCAGCTTCGCTGCTCAGTTCGGCACCACCAAGCCTGAGCCAGAAAGTTCTGGAACTGCCTTTGAGTCCTGCACAACCCCAGTCATTATGCCACATGTCCAGATGGGGGCTTCATAAAGATTTCTCTTCCCTCCCTCACAAATCAAGATATATACCAGAGCCCTGGCTGATGTGGCTCAGTGGATTGAGCTGTCTGCCTGCAAACCAAAGGGTCGCCGTTTCAGGGCACGTGCATGGGTTGTGGGCCAGGTCTCCAGTAGGGGGTGCGCGAGAGGCAATCACACATTGATGTTTCTCTTCCTCTCTTCCCCCTTTTCTTCCCCTCTCTCTAAAAATAAATAAAATCTTTAAATTTGTGAGGGGCGGGGAAAGGCCTATACCAGGCTTGGACGGCTAGAGGGCAGCAAGCTCAACACTGCAGCGATAAAAGGCTGCTGATTCAAAGGCACAGAAGCCACGTTGTGAATTATCTTGCTCCAGAACTAACGCCTCTTCTCTTCTTCCAGAATTCTAAGATGGACGGAGGTGACCCTGTGGCACAGTGATTCCTTTAATTTATTCATGTACAGAATCAGGGAAAAAGAAAAATTTCAGCTTCTTTAGGACAAATTTTCGAGTAATCTATTTCTCTTTTGTGTAGCAGTGATTATGTTTTTTAAGGTGTTTTCGGCATGCAAATTTTCTTGGAGATAGTGAAGAAGCACATAGTGATTTATTTGGAATCAATTGTCCCTTGAACGTATGATCACTCATTCTTATAGTTTTGTTTGCTTTATTTGTTTCATGTGTTTACTCTCTCCACCCCAAGACCCCAGTCCCCACCAGAATGTACATTTCATGAGATGACTATTCTTGGCAACCCCCAGGATCTGTCATGTAGAAGGAACTCAGAAAATATCTGCTGAGGAGATGGACTGAATCATGTAAACGGCATACATCAACTGCTCGGTTTCATGTTTAGTCTTGCTCTAGGTGCTGCTCCATAGGTGAAATTTTTAAAAATACGTGGGCATCTTTCTAACACAATACTGAGACAGGATAGTAAGAAACTAGGAAAATTCCTGGGTGAGCGGGCACGTGGAATGGGGAAACTGAGACAAGAAAATTAAACAAGACCAAACAGTTTGAGCAAAGTGCAGCCAGCTGGTGAATCTCAAGACCTTATCTCCCCTAACCAAGGACACGTGAAAGCAAATGGTTTACACCTCTCCTCTCTGACCGGAGAATGCATAGCTTTCCAGGCCATGAACTACAGGTGCCTGGGGAAGAGAGGAATGCCAATGCGAGCGGAGAGGTGGCGCGCCTGGACCCAGGGGCCAGCTGGGGAAGAAGCTGCAGGACTCCCCTTTCAGCGCCCCCGCCTTACTCCCAGGAGAAACAGCACATCTGCACTCCCTCTAGGTATTTCTCCTGCCCAACTTCCCATGTTTCCCTGTACAAACGTGCTTCTGAAAGCTCAAGGGAAGGGGGACATTAAGGTTTTTCACTGGCCACCTTCTCAGATTGCTGGCTCCTGATAAGCACAATTATGATCCAATCCCTGTTCTGCCTTTTGGCGGCAGTACGAGTCCCCGACTCGGTTGCCCTCCAGTTTCAATACAATGTCAACTCAACTTCTCAGGAAAGAAGCTCAGTAACAGAGTGCTCCTTACAGCTTTTTAATCATTCCATCGGCTCAGGCAACACCACAAAAAACCCAGCTAGAAAACCAGTCCTTGGAGCTTCCAGGCTCTGAAAGTGTGTGTCTGCCAAACACTCTTGACCTTCATGTCGTTACAGATGAAGGCAAACACAAGGGCCACTTTTCTGACCCTGAAATGATGTTACGGGTGGATTTCCAGGAAGAATTCCAACTTGCTGAACCACCATACTCACCTGCTCAGGTTTTCAGAGTCAGTTTTCACTTAAGAATTCAACTTTAGGTAAACAATTTCCTAGTGTCCTGAACCAGAAACTCAGCTGCAACTTGTGAATAAGGCCACCGTTTGGCCCCTCAGAGCCACATCTCCATCTTGGGCCAGGTGGGAGGTGCCATACCTGCAGGGCAGCCAGGAGGATGCCGCAAGCGATGGAAACGCTGATTTCGTTGTAGTAGTGGACCTTCCTTTGGCCCTTGGCAGCAAAGCCATATACTTGTTTGAAAATGAGAATCAAAACAGGAGCCGTGTCCAAGTACTCTTTAATCCAACTAGTCCTAAAAGGAAAAGAAAAAAAAAAAAAGATATTCCAGAGAATACTGACTCTGAATAATTTTTGTTTTCTTTTTATGAGCTTTGCTTATTTATGTTGAAATTAAAACACATTCACTTTTGTGTTTAAATGTAAAAAGAGCGGGTTTTTGTTTGTGTCATCTTCATCTCTTTCTATCCAAGGCTGTGAACAGATATTCGCAAGGGCCCCGTGTGGCAAAGCACCTGAAAATGCTAAAAAATACAAAGATAGATCCTGTAACTCAGAAAGCAGTAAGCCAAGTTTAGCAAAATAAAACCTTGTGAGCACTGTTTAAGAAATACAAGGCAAGTGCATTAGAAGCCCCCCCAAATGAAATGTTAATTTTGAATAGGGAGATTAGAAGAATGTTTCCAGTGTCCCTTGAATTAGGACACTGAAGGCCAGGACAGAGGAGGCTTGGCAGAGAACTTCCAGAAGCCCAGTCGGCTATAGAGTGGGGTGGGTTGGTGGGGCACAGGTGAGCCGGCAGGTTTTGCAGAGTCCTGGACTCCCGTTGGCAGGTGATGGGGAGTGATCAGTAGCTTCTGAGCAGAAGCTCTCCATGAGCAGATCAGCTCCAGGAAGGGGCGACTGGGTGTGGGCAAGGGACCAGCTCAAGGCGGGTCTAGCCAGGAGGCGACGGCAATGGCCCCGGAGAACCTGCCGGAGGTGTGGACGCTGGAGCTGGCTGATCTGGTGCAGGAATGTGCAAGAGGGAGGAAAAAGATGACGATGATGTTTAGCTGAAATTGCAAGTGGGCGGTTGGTAACGCTGTTAGTGCAGTTATAGGAGAAAAGGGAAACATTTGTGGGGGCGGGAGATAATTCATGTGCAGTATAAATGTTGAGTTTAAATTTTTGTTTCCCAGTTAAAAGAATATCTTTCTCTATGCCATTGCTTTATCCCATACATTTGGGCAAAAGCTTCATTCTAACACTGAGATTCAAAGGAAAAAGACTCATGTACTTCTATGTATTGGAATATTTTCTTAGGCTATATTATATCATTAATTAGCAAGAGATCATTCATTTCATTGTTAGCTTAGCTATGCTTTTCTGTTTTAAAACATGCTAAACTCATCTGTGTATTTTTCTATAGTTCCTCAACAGATTATAATTTCTAAGCCTTTTTACTATATATCTGCAAACTTAACCACATTACATAATTATCAACTTTTTTTCTTACAAAGAGGGAGAATGTTAATGGTTTAAAAGACAAACTCTGGATCCAACTAGCTGTGCTGTGTGGGGCAAGCTACTTAACATCTCATAGCTCAGTCTCCTCATATGTACATGTGCTATTGTACACTCACCTCATACAGGTTGTGAGGCTGAAATCAATCAAAATAGAGAAAATGCTTAGAATGGCACCTGGTACCTAGCATTATGTATGTGTGTGTTAGTATTACGGCTCCTATTATTTTACCGTAAATAAATTTTTTAATTGTAAATACAGGTGGAAATTAAGCGATTTACCTAGTTTGAAAGCAAGGTAGTCATTTTTAACAATTTTTGTAGCTGTTTTGCCTAGGCACACATTGATATCTAATATGTGGGCTTGTTCAATTTTACAAGAATTTATTATCACATCATAAAAGAGCTAATAAAAAGACAGCCGCGTGCAAGCCTGTTAAGAGAAGGGCAAGCAGCACCTGCTGCCCGGGGCGGAGGGCTCGCACCAGCAAGAGGGAAAGGATTAGGTTTGGCAGGTAGGTTGGACCCAGATTGTGCATGGAGCCTGTAATGACAGCTGTGGGTTTCGTAGTTGATTCAAACAGGAGGTCAGGACATACTCATTTGTAGTTCAGTTTACCTAGCATTCATCCAGTTACCTACTGTGCATCAGCACTATATTAATCGTATAAGGCTTTTTATTTTATTTTATTTTATTTTTTAATGGTATAAGGCTTTTTTAAACTGGAGCTCCCTGGACCCCTAGAGTTGGTGTATGTGTGTGTTTGTGTGTGTACACATTATCTGCAAAGAAAGTCTGTAATTTAAGTTCTCAGGATTCTCAAGAGTATCTTGATGTACAACAAAGGTTTCTTAGTAAGGCCTATAATATTAGAAGAAAAGTAAACCAATAATTAAAATGCTATGTAGTAGTGGCTATTTTCGATGCCCAGAAGAGGTATGTTAGGTGCTTCAAGCACCTGCTGAGAGAGCAATTAGCTCTGCCTTCACTGGGGGAAGCGACAGGGGCAGGCAGCATTTCGCAGCTACAGTGCGCACCGGGGCACAATGTCTTTCCACGTGTAGAAACCCAGTTTGACTTTTGCCCATCTCAATTTTCCCCACAATTAAGCAATAAGATTTTTACATTCATTATTAATATCCTGCACTTGTTCCAGAACATAGTAATAAGTTATAATTTCATAAGTCATCAATTTTAATGGGTTTAAATATTTTAGGGGAAAAAAAGTTGTCCTCTGGGGCCAAATAAATGAAACAAGAGCAAAGCTAAGAGTCTCATTTCTCATCACCGTACTTTGCCTCCAGGACTGAGACCCCATTGCCCTTTCTTAGGCCTGTACCATAGTGGGGTGGTGGGTGGCTGGTGCCAGAACTGGCCACGGAAATCCCTCAACTGACAGCCAGAGGCAGGAGGAGGACCTGCACATTCCGAGCACACAGGACTTGAGCCAGCATCCCTTCTGAGGAGTCAGGACCGGTATCTGTGGCCCAGCCCGCCTTAGGCCCAGCCTGAGAAGAGATGGGAGGGGAAAGGAATTCACCTTTGTGAGGACTCTCCCACCATTTTGGGTTTTTTTTTAATGACATGGCTAAATCTAAAAAATTGAAAGTGACTATTTTAATCACAAAGGTGGCTAGGGAGGTATAAAATCCACGGAGATATTATGAAAATATACTATGTTCCTCTGCGGGAAAAAGGACTCGACAAGGCATAGTTAGCCGTAGCTACCAGAAAAAAGGAACCATGCGTGTACCTACCCCAGTGCATTCAGGCACCAGAGTGAAACCAGTTACACAGATTTCCACGTCACCCCTTCCCTGGAGATGAGGAAGCCACAAAGTTACTGATGCCTATTGCATACTATCCGTGTACTACACCTATACTTTGACTAAACATGTACTCAAACTAAAGGCTGATTAATAAGACCATTTGGAAGAGCTGGTCGATTTAGCAAAATGTGATTTACCTTACTCAAGACCTTGAGAAATATTTCACACTCTTACATTCCAGCTGGGAGAAATGTAAAGTAAGTTCTCAAAGTTTTACTTATTACGACTTGGGTCAAAGCCTATTTATTTACCAAAGATTCATATGGCACTGACTACATGCTATCACGGTTCTACGTGCTTACAAACTCATTTAATGAAGTAAACACTAGACTTGTTCCCATTTTACATATGAGGAAGCTGAGTCACAGAGAGGTTAATAAGTGATAAATCTCACATTTGAGCCCAAGCACTCTTGCTTTGGCAGCCCTACTCTTAGACTTCTATTTTATTTAATCCTGACAAGTTTTTAATATTATTATTTTGAATGAAAAAAGATAAACTCTGTGTGAGGGTTAATTTTATGCATCAACTTGACTGGGCCATAGGGCACCGGGTATTTGGTTAAACATTATTTTGGGTGTGTCTGTGAGGGCATTTCTAGATGAGGTCAACATTTGGATCAGTAGGCTGAGTAAAGCAGATAGTTCTCCCTCGCAGGGTGGGTCCCATCCAATCCGGTGAAGGCTTGAATAGAATGAAAAGGCAGAGGAATTGGCTCTCTCTGCCTGACTCGTTTTGAGCGAGGATATCGGTCTTCTCCTGCCTCCAGAATCAAAGCAGGATTGTAACTTACACCATTGACTCTCCTGCTTCTCAGGCCTTCGGAGTTGGACTGAAACTACACCACCAGCTCTCCTGAACCTCCAGATTGCTGCCTGCAGATCTTGGGACCTTTTAGGCTCCTTAATTGCATGAAACAATTACTTATAACAAAGCTCTGCCCCCTTTTTCTGTGTGTGTGTTTCTTTCTGTCTGTGTGTGTCTCTCTCTTCACTGATGCTCTGGAGAACCCAGACTAACATCCATAGAAAGAGTAAATAAATGCCCAAGGTCTTGCGACTGGAAGACCGGAGCTAAGTTTTGACCCAGACCGGATTCCAGGCGAATTCCCAACCACTCCACTATATACGTGCTCAAGCCAATACAGTGGCAAGACCTAGCTTAACTTCTGTAATTCCTCCCAGAGGTGGAATCAAACATTTTAACACCTAAAACAAAACCAGGAAACTGAAGCCATAATTATTTCATTTTAGGAAGGCAAACCACACATCCCGAATCCCACCCCCTTTTGTACCTCAGTTTCTTCAAGTCTGTAACCCATCTTTGCCCCATCCTTTTCATGTAGTTTATTTCCTCCTCCTCCTCAATGATCTCCCGAATCTTGTGCTTCATATCCGGGTCCTGCACAACCACAAAGGTCCAGGGCTCTGTGTGGGCCCCACTTGGGGCTGTTCCTGTCACCCATTAAGTTAAAATCAGAAATTAAAACTGCAGGAAAAAGCGAGACTGTTAATCAAGACTTGATAGATAATTCATACTTGCTCCAAATATGGTTAGGTTACATTGTCTAGCAAACAAAGTGCTTGGTGGTAGACTCTGGGGTGTTGCCATCCCCCCTCCCCCCATTCTTCTGGCATCACTGGGGGAGGCTCCACACCAGCTCCCTGAGATTAAGGCCAAAAGTTCCAAGAATGTCCCTATGTGACTGTACCATGACCATGAGGGAACTTGGGGAAATTCTGACAGCCCAAATTCTCCAAAATGCCATTTGTTCTGATATCCTTGAAAACATATAAAGTCATGAAGCTCATTGGAAATGGTAAAATTTAAATGGTCTAAAAGTTTTAAAAACACTCCTCCTACCGTAATGAAACTATAAATTCTTTAGTGCCAATATCAAAGCTCTGAGTGTGGTGCTGTGGGGTTTGTGGTTTAGTTGGGGACACACAAGAACTCCTGGACCTGGGTGTTCAATACGCACAACAATATGTCTTCTTCCTCGTGCAGGCTTCAGGGACACTGAGCCCCCACCTTCATCAGCCCCACTGTCCTGGACAAAGCTTCATAGTACACCTCAGTGCCCAAGGAGCTCAGATTCCCTGTGAGATTCCAGCCATGGCCCAGGCCAGCTTCTGATCTGGACACCCTCCCGCTGTCCTAGAAATGGCTCACTGTTCCCAGCAGTAGACCACAGTGACTCTCTGCTGGGATATTTCAAAAGCAACTGTTCCTTTCTTCCTAGGGAGTAATTTAATAGCATAAACTCTGCATGAGGGAGCTCAGGCCTTCAGCCTCGATGACACTCTTATTTGCCACGCCCGGCTCCCCCTGGTAGAGAGGGCATGATTAAATTGTGAAATGCTTTAGAAAAAGGTAAACATAAAGCCCAACTTCTGAACAGAGTGATTCCAGCTCACTTTGTACCTATGTTATTTGTCCAATAAATACATTTGTCACTAACCTAAGAAATAAATTGTTCCCTAGTGTTTTCAATGATGCCAAATTTATCTAAGCATCATATGTACACACACGCACGCGCATATGTAGGTACAGATATGTACACAGATGAAATTTAGTAACTGCTATTAGTTAAAGGACTCAACTATTTAGTGCATTTGTATTCTTAACTGAAATAAAATGAATAAAATTTTAAACGCTGAAGCCTCTCAAATAGGGGGCTTGCTTTTATTTCTCCTCCAACTTTTCTATAATTTTTGTTTTTTCCTCCGTAGAAGTATTAATTTACATTGAAAAGGGTTTACTTTGCAAATTCGCACAAGTAAACTTGGAAAATCATTAGAATACTGTGTGAGAGCATAACGGTGTATGGTGTAAGAAACTTGGCTCCAAAAAGAGAAACGTATAACCATACGTGTGTGTGCGCGCGCGCGCGCACTTTAAGGGGAGGGGAAAGAAAGCAGATATTTCTCTTTCAATGTATAATAGTGTATTCAGAAATTTTTGTTTTTAGTAAAAGTTCATAATGTTGAGTAATTTCAGAAGTTTTGAACTGTTGTCACATCTGCTCCCAAGAAATTGGTAATTGTCAAAACTTTGTAGAAAGTGAGAATCATTATGATTCTGGTAGTCAACACCTGAGTAAGGCTTTATACGTAAGCTTATCACTCTAGGCTTTATTCCCTGTATTTGAACTTCAACAATGCTGTGCAATTACAAACCTGCTGTTTTGATGACATTATCAATGACTTCCTTTGGGACTTGTTCATTACTTATGACTCTCACAGAGCGTCTCTTATTGAGAAGTTCATAGAATTCCTGGGATCTCTTAACCATTTCCTTCTCAGGATACCGGCTGTGGGAGAATGGGATGTGTTCAACATTTTCCTCTGACTCTTGCCACTCATCAGCATCTGCAAATAAGAACAAGAAAAGTATCAAATTTAATGAATGATCTTTCTTGGTCACAAGGTGGTCACTGGGGAGGAGATAAAGTTCTCAAAAGTGTCTGATATGAGTCAAAAACATCAACAAAGAAGTGAGATGAATAGATCCATATAATCCTGACCTTTGATCTTGACAATCCTTTAAACTGTAGACTGGTTATAAATCAAGAAAAAGAAAAAATTCACCTACACAAAGATGAAAAAATGCAAATTTTTGTTAATGGTGAACTAGCTTATTTAGAACAGTCTCCTGTCAGCTGAAAACCAGTAAGATCCCTAAATAAAATACTTTTAGCATGACCCATGGACATGCACAATGGTGAGGGGATGGCCCGAGGGAGTGGGGGTCTGGGTGGAGGGGGCAAAATGGGAAAATTGGGACAATTTTAATAGCATAAACAATAAAATATAATTTAAATTTTTAAAAAAATTAAGAACTGGCAAAAAAAAATTTTAAGTCCTTTTAAAATCATTGTATTGTTCACAACATAGTAAGAAATTCCCAAGCCAAAACTAAAGAGAAAATATGAACATGCAGAGATAAATAAGCACAAAAGCTGTATTTTCTGTAATCTTATTTACCAATTCCTACACATTTGAATTTTTATTTATATGTTGTCAGGAAAGAAATACACTTTTCTATAGTCAAACATATAATCCTCTTTTATACACTTTTCCAGTAAGTATATTGCATTCTACAAACTTAAAAAATGGGAAGGCCACAGAAATTAATTACCAAAAAAATCAGAAGTAGATCAACTGATAAGAAATGTTAGGTAAGAATATCTGAAAAAAAGAGAGAAGACAAAATTTTCTCAATGCAGCGACAGTTTAAGTAGGTCAGGTCTAGTGAGAACTTAGATTCTTCGTGACAAATTTCTTTCCATGTTACTATTTTTCAGAGTACAGCAGCGAAACCAGTTTTTAAAATGATCCTGTTTCATATTTAAAATAGCAGTGCTTTCAAGAAAGATTTAGAGTTTGAAACAATGAATAAGAACTTGAAAGTGTGAACAAAATTGGCCATAGGCACGTCTACCTTCTGAGCCAAGCAGCACAACTCCAATCAGGAGGAAGTAAAGCCTCCTGTTGTGCACCCCCCTCCCAAGACTGTGGAGGGAAGTGGGAAGGAGGCACAACTTTAAACCTCTGCTGGATTTTCTGTTGCTGTGTCCCTGCAGTTGATGGCTCATTTTTCCCAAGCATAGGAGTGAGTCTTTGCAAGAGGAGCTAAGCTACCCAACCTGACACAGTGAGAGGAATAGACTTTGGGGAGAAAAGTCCAGAGGCAGGTCTACAAAGGCAAAATCAAAGACCTTTGGAAGGACAAAGGGCTGCTTCCCCAAATGCTAATATACTGCCTGAGGGGCTGACCACATCAGGGAGGAAGCTCTGAAAGAAAAAAAGGGAGGGGGTGATTTCCTCAAGGAAGCAGGTTCCAGGGGGAAGAAAAAACACTGAGAAAAAAATCAGGAAGCCCTAATCTCAGAGCCAGACTGATTGCAAGCGCACCAGTTCCTGGAAATTCTAAGAATCCTCACAGGGCATTTCCCATTCCCAAACCCAGGGGATTAAGGAACTGATAATTCAGCCTTTTTTCCCCTTTTTACTTCTGCTCAGTAGGGTGAACTCAGTTTATATCTGGATTACACAAGCATTATGACATTAAGGAAAAGAAACAGCTGGAGAAAGTGAGGCAATCCTAAACTTGAACTTGACCTCTTTCTATTATCACGGAAACTGAACAACTTTCTCATTTTAAACTTCTGTTCAGGACATGCCTGTAGCAATGATTTTGCAATTTGGGGGGGGGGGGGGGGGCGGGGCTGGTAATGGTATTTGTGGGTAAAGAGAAGGGTAACCCTGCAGAATAAAAATCTCTAGTACGTATGACAAGTTTGGCAGGAAAAAAAAGAACAATTTCAATGTTATAGTTACATATTTGCAAAAGACAATATACTATTGTCACAGGTGGGCGCAGGTAACCAGGTTCTTGGTGATCGCGGACAAAAAATTGAACTGAACACACAGAGTTTATAGCAGAAAGCGAGGAAAAGCAGATTTATTAAGCCACACAGAACCTGGGAGCAGGCCAACTCTGAGCAGAGTGGAGCAAAGAAGAGCGCAGAAGAGCGTACCAGCAGCAGCCCTGAACGTAGGAGCTGGAAGGTTTTTATTCCTTAGGGTGGGTCTCCCATGATTTCCTTGATTGGCTACTGGGAAGAGGGTCCCACAATGCTAATTTATTTTAATGAAGTAGGGGTCAGGTTGCATCTTCTGCGCAGGTGCAGTCCTGATAAACTAGGATTTAATGCTTTTCCAGATGCAGAAACTACCAGATTTAGCACAGGGTCTCCGCCCTTTATCTCTGTTCTTTATCTCAGCCCTGGGGCACCTCTGGAATTTCCTCCTTCCTATCTTCTGCCTATTATTATACATTTAGTTAAAATGCTATGATATTGTCATGTACGTATTACATTTAGTAAAATGTTATACACAAATCACTTTTAATAAAGCTCCCCAAATCTTCCTTGAAGGCTGAAATGCAACAAGGTTTTTATTTAGTATTTACTGAGTCTATATTAGTGAACAAAATCGATACAGTTTTTACACTTGGGACTTAAACGTTTAAACTAATTGGAAAATGCCTACTGTACGGCAATATAAACTATGAAAACAATTCACTCTCTATAAAGAAACAGAGAATGAGGAAGGGCGGTCCGCACAGGGAAGACTAAAAGGGACCCTCTGGATCAGGTGAAACCTGAAGACTGAGAGGCTCAGCATTTGAGGGCCAAGGATGAGGAAAGGCCTCTTTCAGGCATATCTGAGCAGCTGAAGGGACCTAAATATGGCTGCGTCTTACTGAACAAAAGGCGAGAATAAAGCTTGGGAGGTAGGTAAGAACCTACTTACGTGGGCCCAGAGAATGTACTCCTAATAAGATTGTAGATAAGCCAAAGTATCATAGGAAGAAATACAAAGGTATAAGCAGAAGTGTGATGTAATATAACTTATGCTTATAAAGATATACATTGGAGGGAGACCGAGTGCAATAAGAAAAACTGGAAAGAGACTATTGCCATAGCCCAGGTGAGGGATGATGCTGGCTTGGACCAGCTGGGCAGCAGAAAGAATGACGGAAGTGTGCAGATTCCTGAAGCATCCTGGAGACAAAAGTGATAAGAACGGCTCAGGCTTGTGGTCGGGAGGGGGAGGGAGGGAGGGCCTAAGGCTGACTCCCAGATCGCTGGCTTCAGGGCCTGGGTGGACCGTGGAGCCATCGGCTGGGCTAAGAGGGTGAGGGATGAACCGTTAGGGGGAGGGGGCAGAAGCAGGACTAGGAATCCACAGTGTGTCACATTCAAGACACCTTCAAGTGAAGATGTCAGGTATGAAAGTGAATGTCCACGAAGCGAGGTGTCACCTTGGGAGCCCTCACATAAAGATGAGAATGACACAGAGGGAAGAGAGCAAGAAGACCCAGGGCCTGGCCCTGTGGGGGCTGGGACTTTCCAGGTGCCATTCAGGTAGAGGATTAACCTTCCCCCACACTGGCTCCCACACGCTTCACTCCTAGGTGTCTGAGGAAGGCAGGAGGGAACTCTCAGGAAATGGGGACTGACTTCAAAGAGACTGAGAACCCCACTACAATACGAGGAGGTACCCTGGTTTGCTCATAGAGCGTAGTGAGAAACTGCTTTTGACATTTCACTAGTGGGGCAGTTTGGGCCCAGACTGTACACACTTAACAAAAAGGCCCAGGTACTTAGTTAAAAGGAAGCAGGGTCGGTGGGGGAGTGGCCATCACCTATCAGCTTTCTAGCAGTCAATTCTGAACCAAACCCACATGTCATCATCTCCAACCCTGAACTTTCAAATGTGTCAGTAAAGGCTTTATACAGCAATAACATTTCTATGCCATTTGCTTTGAAGTCTGGCAACCACTGCAGTCAGGAAGTGGTCAAAGAGTCAATGCCCGATTGCTTAACTGCTGCGGAAGTCACTATCTCCTATCTTGTAAGATCCCTTCCACTCGCATTGTGCGTGCCCACTGTGCCTAAACCAGCCTAAGTGCATGACCTGGCAATTTCTGCAGCTTCTAAAGTCCAGGGTAGGCGCTCCCACCTGAGCAGGATGAAGAAATGGCCTAACCCCTGTGGGGTTAGATTGCCCTGCAGAACAGCCAGGGTGGGGGTCGGGTGGAGGTGGGGGTGAAGGGAGGCAGTTGTTTCTGGAGCCTCTCCCAGGGCTGAAGATCTGCATCCTTCCTAGGAAACCAGTCAGGCTTGGAGGGAAAGTGCAGAACGTTGCTTCACAGCAGGGCCACGAAACAACACCAATGTGAAAGGCACCCCTGCTCTCCTTCCCTGTGACCCCTCGCGGCCCCCAGGAATGTGGCCCTCGCCAGGGGGAAGGAGAACCATCTCTGCACAGCTGTCCTGCCTCCGTCCTAGACCAGCCAAGTCGCTGCAGTGACTCATTCAAGCTGTAAAGCCCACGTATTTCCAACACAAAGGTGTGTGGTTGCGGTCTGCTTTTTAATATCCGCCCTGCCCTCCCACTCTGGGGGGGCTGGCTATTGTCACCAAGGCAGCTCACCTTTTATAGTTGTTTTAATGCCAAAGAACAGTAAAAGGCTCCATAATTAGGTTTAATGGCCAGGAAATTCTAGGTCACATCTCTTCTTTAACATTTAACGTGAAAGTATTTTGGGGGCTGCGTCTCTACCTAAGCTGCTTTTATGTTTTGTAGTTCTGCCTCGAAACCTTTGCAAATGGGTCCAGTGTTTTCCAGCTAGCAAACTACAGGCCAGCTGGTGTTATGCTATCCTTGTTCCCTCCTTGCAAATTCTGGGAGCCTTCAGGCTGAGGGAGGTGTGGCTGGCACAGTAGACGGATTCTGAAGGCGGGGTGGGTGGTGGCGGCGCAGGGGGGCGGGGGGGGCCCACTTCTGGGCTCCACACCTGTCCTGGCAACGCCTCCTTCTCAACGCCCCAGCCATCGCTCTGACTCTTGTGTGGCCCCTCCATCAGCCACCTCCCTAGCTGCAGCCTAGGCTGAGTGTGTCACTAGCAGCAACAGAGGTGGGTGGGGACTGGGGAGTCTGGCGACATGCAGTGGAATACTGACCTTATAGACTATTTTTCTCCGTGGTGTGCGGGTAAACCAGCTCTCTGAGGGGGCAGGGGAAGAGCCCAGAATCATAACACTCGCCCACTCCCAAGGTATGTCCCGTCCTGTCCTGACTTCAAGATACTGACAATTGAAAAAATGACCTGCAGATTTCATGTGCGAGCACACCACCTGGTCGGGAAGAATGGAGTTTAGGGGTTGGTGGACTTCCAGGGATATCAGAGAACTGACAGCATCGATAGGAACACTGTTACTTGGTTGCGACTGTTGTTGATTGGTTGGCATTCAGAGAGGCTGGTGCTAGAGTGAGCCCGTCCCTCGTTTGCTGCCTTTTAGGAGTAAGAGGCTACCACTGATGGGCTGACTTGCTTGGCTTTTACTGAAATGAGTTGCTATTGATCCACGGAACAGGTTTGAAGCCAGTTTTGACAGCTGCTTGTTACCATGGGTACATAAAAATCTGTTCATTCCCAAGTATGCAGGAATGTTTTTATTCTCAGGCATTATCCATGCCAGATAAAAATTTGAATGCAGGCCTTTCTTAGCAGTGACTGGGTAACCTAAGGCAATCAAAATTTCAGTTAGAATGACAGATTTTAGGTGGTCCGTGAAGCTAAGTGAAGAAAAATCCCCACTGCCATTAAAATGGACATCTGAGATGTGTTCCCCCTATCTTTTTCTCCTACTTCCATTTCCATGAACTTCCAGGAGTCTGTGCCTGACTGGTTCATTTGAGGGGAACAATCCGAGGTCTTACTTTGAGATAAATATTGGGTTGGCCAAAACGTTCATTTAGTTTTTTCTGTAAAATAAAAGACACATTTTTCATTGTCACCAATAACTTTATTGACTTGGGTAATATGAGTATGTCAGCTATCTCCTGCGTGGTAGAATGTGGATTGTTCTCAACGTCTCAATTTGATCGCTATTAATTTGAACTGGATTGGTCTACCCAACCATGGAGCAAGCATCATTGAGTGAGAAATCTCCAGCAGGAGACTTCACAAACCACTTTTGACACCTTCTATCCATCACAGCACCTTCTCCATACACTGCACAAATCTTGTTTTACATTTCAGGTGTGTTTTTACCTTTCTTCAAATACTAAAGCATAATATGCCAAAAATATTGCATATTTTATTCCATATTCAATATTAAAATGACTACATAAAAATTCACTAACTTTGGCCCTAGCTGATGTGGCTTAGTGGATTGAGCGCTGGCCTGCAAACCAAAGGGTTGCTGGTTCGATTCCCAGCATGGGGCGCATGCCTGGGCTGCAGGCCATGTCCCCAGCATGGGGTGTGTGAGATGCAAGCACACACTGATGTTTCTCTCCCTTTCTCTCTCCCCTCTCCTCTCTAAATAAATAAAAGAAAAATATTTTTTAAAGAAATTCACTAACTTTGGTAAGTTTTTTTAAATGCACACTGATATGACGGCTGTCACAATACAATCGCATAAAATTGTTTCAAAAGAAGTTAAAGACAACTAAGCACTGCTAGACCCATATTACAGAATAAACCAAACAGACTCTTTGGCCAACCCAATATTGCAACTTCTCTTTATTTGAGCTTTGCTACAGAAAAATAAAAAACTGAAAGTATTCACAGAACACCATGATGACTAATCCTTGAAGAAGGGTTGTGTCTGACATCTAACAAGCAGGGTTTCTCTAATGTCCCAAAGTTCTGCCACCTGCCTGCCCGCACACTTTCTGACTCCCTGTGCACCAGAGAATTCCCTCACTCACTCCAGAATGGCCTACCACGCTTATCTAACTGCCCTGCCTCTTGCTGCTGATTTTCTTTTAATCTGGTTTCTATTTGCTGCCATCGAAGCCATGTCCATGGTTCTTCAGTCACGGAATCCTTGCTTGCCTCCAGCTATACCCCCTTTCAAACCTGCAGGCCCAGCAGGGGGGCCTCTTGCACCGTGGGCAGCCAGCCAGTGGGCAGGAGCTGGCACCTGGGTTGCAGAGGGGACTGAGTGTAAACCTTGGTCCTCCCCTACCACTTGTGTGACCCCAGTCAGTCTCACTTAAATAAACAACAAAAATTTCAACAAGAGACTATGGACTATTCGCTCAGGGCAGACTTGTCCATGGCTGCTGAGGAGGCCACTCTGTGGCCAATTCATGCCTCTGTGGGGGGAACAGAGAGGAAGAGGTAGAGGATTTGGAGAAATAAATAATGAGGCAGGAAACCAGAACAGAGCTAACCTTCAGGCCCAGCCCCAGGCCTCTGACTCCCTACCAGCCTTATCATTCCCTTTTGTGTCCCCCAGACCCTTACGTCTTCCAACCCAGTGGCCTTCCCTCAGTGCACATCACCTCCGAGCTCTCAGGGAAGTTTTAAGCCTGCTGGCCGTCCCCTGCTTCCTCTGTTCTGGGCCATTCTATTGCAAAGGCAGCCTAGCACACTGGCCATGTGCCCAGGTTCAAGAGCCCCACTGGCTGGGCCCTGGCTCCACCACTGCTTGTTTAGGTAGGTGACTTAACATACCTCAGTCTCAGTTTCTTTATCTGTAAAATGGGGGTAACAGTAGTGCCTACTTCACTATGTTATTATGAAGACTAAGTAATTTTCTACACTGCGACACTGAATTCAGTAAATGCTACTTGTTATTTATTGTTATTGTTGTTATTGTTTATCCTGGCACTCCTTTTTCTCTCTCTCCTTTTCTGCAGCCCATTTCTCCCACCACGGTTCCTCCTAATTGCAGGTGCCACGTGCCCCACCCCCGCAAGTTCTACCCTCAGCCTCCTCTCTAGCTACACCCCCTTAGTGAATTCATTAGTTTTCCAAGTTCCATGTCTCGCCCCTATGCCAGTGGCTCTCCGGTCAGTATCTGTGGCCTGGGTCCCTCATCTATACACTTCCCTCCTGTTCTGCTTCAGCGCGGCACTGTCTTCTCAAGTCTCACATATCCTAGACTGGGCGCATCTTCGCCTTTAAACTCGACCCCTAACCGTTTATGATGGTGTCTCTCTGACTCTTCCAGCTTCCTTAGTTTCCCAGTATCTCATTCATTGTCAAGCTCTCTCGTTCTCCCTTTTCACTTCACCCTCATTCACTCCCGCCTCTGCGATCCCTACTGCCGCTACCATCCATCCCTCTTTACCAAAGCAAATCACTGCCCAGCTTTGTCATGGGTGTCCCTCTGTTCAAGGGAAGTGCTTCTCCGTTGGCATAATTGGCAGCCCAGGGTAGAGGGACATCTTTCCACGTAGGAGAGTAAGAGGAAGCCCTTCTAAGAAGTTATGGGCTTGAATCCCGTGCGACACATTCAGCATCACTGACTCCTAGCACTGACTGCCAGCTATATACCTCACCCCTGATCCCGAGATGAGGCCAACTCAGAGCACACGTGCGCGCATGCCCACACATGCCCATGCTTGCGCACATACACAAGTGAACATACATACATACCTGCAAATAACACACTTCCAGGGGGCCTCTGCTGGAGGATGGGAGCTCCACTGGCCCAGCCGAGAATCACGGAGCCCCTTCTGCGTCGAATCCATCTCGCAGACCAGCCTCAGGCGAGCCTGCAGCCAAGGTCACCCAGGCCTCCTCAAGAGCCTCGCCCTCCCTGCTGCGTCCTTTACCCCGTCTTCTCTCGCACGACAGCCATGACCCGGCGCCCCCTGGCCACCCCGTTTCATGTCATCCCTTCCCCTGGCCAGCACAGTTCCCCCACCTTCTCAACACCTTTCCCAGGGGTTTGGTCCCTGTACTTGTGTTCACATTGCTCCCCTTGCTGAGAGGCCTCCTGGCTCCCGCTCTTCAGGTCCTGCTGGTTGGCTGAGCCTGGCTTGCCCGTCTGCTGAGCGCCTCACCACGTCCCCAAGGCTTCTGCAAACACACTATGGGCATTTCTACCTGGCCCATCTCTTTGTTCCTCTCTAACTGTTGCCTGTTTATTGCCGTGTCCACTGACTTGGACCCTCAACTTAGAGGACAGCAGCCACTCTTGTCTCTAACCCGCGGGGCCTGTCACCGTCAAAGGGAGCAAGTCGCTCCATAGAAACCACTTTTTAAATTTCAAAGCTCCTGATCCAAACCTGACCACTTACCCCACGGCCACCCCTAGCCGGTAATGTGCCCCATCAGAAAGGTTTTAGCAGCCAGAACAGAATGGAGCCAGGGAAAATATCAGCCCTCCACAGCTTTCTGCTGAGTGTCCGGGAATAAAGGGGGGATGGCACCAGCGGGTGACAAGCTGACCACCCAAGAGGCAGGATCTGCCCCTGTCACTCATGAATTTGTCTGTACGAGAGGTCGATGAGGAAACGGACTGGCAGTGACCCTTCCCCTCCACAGGCCCTGCCATCCGCACGCGCATCACAGAAACGCAAAAGGTGTAAGCTGCGCAGCACGCCCTTGTCTTTACCTTGTTCCACGTCGTGGAGGTCAGTGCTGTCCTTTAAGTCTTCATCCACCCAGGGACGAGCCTTGGACCTGGCTCCCGGCTCCCCGTTCCTTCGCTCGACGCTTCTATCAGCATTTTTATACATCCACACAATGAAAATGCAGACAACTGCTACCAAGACTGGAGTCAGGGCAAACATGCTCGTGAGCTGAACCTGAGCAATGCACTCGTTTCCCACACCGGGGCTCAGACAAACAGCACGGAACGTGGAATGCCAGCACGTGGGACGGAGAGAGAGAGAGGCGTGCCTGGAAAGGAGCCAGCTGAACTCTCTAACTCTGTGAGGACTTTGCCAAGAGCAAAGATCACAGCTCGGCGGGCTGGGGTATGTTTGTGCTGTAGGTTTGGCAATGCACCAGTGCATTCACTTTTTAATGCTGTGTACTCAAGCAATACGTTTTAACATGGTAATTTCCTGGATCTCACTAAATACTTCAATGCACTAGATCTTGGCAGCAGCGGTAGAAGGCATTTCATCTTCCTCCCTGTGTCTCCAACCTGCCCGCAGCTAGGAATCACCTGGGGAACTTGTTTTTAAAAGAACAGATTTTCAGACACCGATTAAGATCTGCTGATGATCTGTGTTTTAAAACAGATTGTTTGTGAAACAGCCCTGCAGCTGTCGTATTTGGCGACCTGCAATGGGAATGAGAGACTCACCCGGGATTGCTTGGCTCAAGGCAGAGAAGAAAAGCGAGGTGGTCATTGCTTTCCTCGTTCATCCCTCCATCCACTCATTCATGCAACGTGTATCTTTAATGTGAAAGGCATTGCATTAGGTGCTAGAAATAAAACGGTGGGCGGAACAGACGGCACCTGCCCGCCTGGTCTCACAAATTAATGTCACAGCTTGACTTCCCTAAGAGCTGTTAGGGAGCAGAACAGAGTATGGTTTGGACTCATTGTGTTGGTGAGGTTGGAGGTTCCCCAGAGGAAGGAAGGGTTGTGCTGAGGTTGGAACTATGAGGAGGAGTCACTAAAGTAGGGGGCGGGGGACAGAGCCTTCTAGGAAGAACGGAAAGCGGGGACAAGGCCTGCACTTTGGACGGAGCTGGTACCTGCGGGGATGCAGAGAGCCAGCATTAGCCAAGAGGTAAGTGAGCACTAGGTGAAGTGGGTCTTTGTACAACATGTAAATAAATAGTGGTTTTGGGTTTTTTTGACCCATCATGCAATGTGGAGAGAGGGGGACAGGTCAGTAATAGCAGATACTCACTGAGTGCTTACTATGTGGGGCCAGGTCCTCTCCTTAAATCTTTGTGCGTATTGACTCATGCATATGCCTCAAAACAAGCCGTTCTCACCCCCACTTTCCAAGCGAAGGAAATGGAGCACATGGAGGCTGAGCGACATGCCGGGCCAGTGCTGTGCACACGGGCACCCTGAACCCCTCTGTGTTAGCTGAAAGAGGCCCTGTCGTTCGCCTCTTCCCCGCAAGCTGGGGCCTTGGCCTAAAATCCGCTGGAGCCAAACCAGCTTGATTGGGGATCGGAAGGGAAGTGAGGTGTAGTGGACTGAATGTTTGTGTGCCCCTCCCCAAAATTCACATGTCGAAGCCCTGATTCCAATGTGATGGCACCTGGAGCTAGGCCTTCGGGAGGTGATTAGAACGTGACAGTGGAGCCCTCATGAATGGAACTAGTGTGCTTACGAGAGAGACTTGACAACTGGCTAGTTCCCTCTCCACCCTGCGAGGACACCGCATGAAGGTGGCCGCCTATGAACCAGGAATCAGGCCTCTCCAGACACCGAATCTCCGAGCACCTTGATGTTGGACCTTCCAGCTTCCAGAACTATCAGAAATAAATGTTTGGTTTTTTTTAAGTCACCCAGTCAGTGGTATTTTTGTTACAGTAGTCTGGGCTGACTAAAACAACCTTAGCTTTAGAGGAATAGAGAAATGCGGTTTAAAAGTAGGTACAGCACAGACGGAAAGAACTTAGCTGCGGTGATCAGGTAAAGGGCGAGAGGAGGAGACAGCGGTGAGGAGCGGAGGCAGTGAGCGGGGCCCGTGGAGGGGAGATGCGCAGCTCCTGGGGGTCGGCTCCCAGGCTCCCTCCTACCCCGAAGCTCCTGCAGCGCTGGTCTCGGCGAAGCGTAGCCTCGCGGGGGGCCCTGGCTCTCAGATTCCCAGGAGACCACGCCCCTTCGCTCCCCTTGAACCACTGCAGCGCTCACCCGGGCTCAACCGAGTGGGTCTTCACGTTTCTTCACAACCAACAATCTCCGTGGCCAGGCTGCCTGCTCACGAAAAAGTCAAGAGAGTAAAATCTTTGTAGTCACCACTAAGGGGAATAGGAAAGGCTTCGGATAACATCATGGTTTCACCATCAGTTTTACTTTAGAAACAGATCGTGGCGTGGGGACAGTGAGATGCCACGCTGCTAAAGTTTGGAAGGCCCGAATACCCCAGTCTGTTCTGGGTTGTTCTAAAACATCCGGGGACAGTTGTCGTGCCAACATCTTTTCCTCCTCAAAGTAGGACTGCAGAGGGTAGATACCATGGAGGATGGTAGGGGATACTTTTATGTCATTTATTATTATGCTTTTGTTACTCCAGATTCCTTGGCCACTTTAATCACAGCATTTCCACCAATGGCAGAAAACTTCATGTTGGCATCAAGACAATTCCATACCTTCCATTTTGCAATGGAGACAATTAGATTTCTCTCTCTTGCCTTCCTTTCCCTGGGTACCCTTAGCATATCCTCGTATCGGAGGAGAGGCGTCTGGGCCTCAGTGTGGGTTCCAGCAAAGGGCGCAGCCTCAGGCAGCAGGTGCGGTACAGGCTGTCTCCACAGGAAACGTCCTCAATCTCCCCATGACCTCTGCATCCTTCGAGCCCAGATCACAGGCCCTCTGTCCTCAACCAGTCACCATGCCCTTTCTGAGTGGTTACCAAGTCTCTTGGGTGATTCTCTCAGGCCTCTTAGTCCATTTTTGCCTTATGGATGTCTATGTTATTTGAATTCTTTTCTACCAGCCTGTACTATCTTTTGGTACTTTTGTTATGATAAAATACCATACCATTTTAGCCCTTTTTAAGTGTACAGTGGCATCAAATACATTCACAATGTTGTGCACTCTGACCGGTATTTCCAAAATGTTCCCCTCTCTCAAAAGGACACTGGCCGGAGGGCCAAAGGTTACATATTTTAAGTTTTCTTAAATTTAAAAATGTGGTTAGCTAGATAATAAAAATGTGGTTAGCTGGTCAGGACCTTCCCGCGGCACGTCACTCCGACCTCCTGCCTGGCCTCCATTTTCCGCTGGAGAACCAGCAGGAGAAAGGAAGGGGTCCCTCCTGATTACACTGGGCCCACCAGACCACCCAGGATAACCTCCCTATTTTGTTTCTTTCAAAATAGTAACATAAAGGAGTATTTCTGGAGGCAGAGGAAGGTATTCAGTGCTTTCCTGCAAAACGGTGGCTTTTAAAACCCCTTTAATACTGCACACTGCATCGGTGTGGCCTGATATGCCACTCCTTCCCATATTGAGTTAGGACGCTCTTGCTTCACGAATAATGAATCTAAACTAAGCTAAAAGCTGATTGCATCCTTTCTTCTTTTTTATACTGTTATAAAATATACGTGACGCGAAATCCACCATTTTAACCATTTTTAAGTGGACAGTGCAGTGGCACTAAGTACAGTCACACTGTTGGGCACCCGTCAGCACCACCCGCCTCTCTCATCCTCCCAAACTGAACTCTGCCCCCATTAAAGGCGAACTCCACATCCCTTCCTCCCCCAGGCCCTGGCCACCCCCGTTCTCCCTTCTGTCTCTATGAATTTGACTACTCTAGACACCTCATATAATGGGATCCTGCAATGTTTGTCCTTTTGTGTCTGGTTTATTTCATAAAGCGTGATGTCCCCAAGGTTCGTCTATGTTGTAGCACGTATCAGAATTTCTGTGCTTTTTAAGGCTGAATAATATTCCATTGTTTGTCTATGCCATGTATTATTTATTCATTTAGCCATTGATGAGCACCTGGGCTACTTCCACCTTTTGGCCATTGTGAGTATCGCTGCTGTAAACGTTGGTGGGCCATCCTATTCTTTCCAACATGGCTGACAATGGAGTTTAACGTGAGGGACTGAGAGCTCTGACTCAGACGGCTTGCTCAGAATGCGTGGGGTCCAATTCTCAAAAGTTATGTAACACAACATAAGGCATTTCTTTTTTCTGATTCACATTACAATTAACTTAATTTCTTGCATCTTAAATATTTATTTAAAAGTTATTTATTAAATGAATAGTAGAGCTGATTCTTTAGAGAAAAAAGAAAAAATGTGCGATAGCAAATGTAAGTAAAAAACACAATTGAACAAAATTAGAACTAACATCATATCTAAAACAATTACAAAGGGATATTTTCAATTACATCAAACTATGTAATTCAGTGTAGATACATTTTAAAAATCATGATTAAATGGAAAATATTCTGAGGGGAAGAGAATAAGTAAGATTCCAAAGCTGACCAAAAATACCAGTGACTATGTGAAAGTTTTAAAACATTTTTAAAGAATTTTGTGTTTAAAATACATATATCCCCATGCTCAGATGATGAACTTTGCACACATTCAAAGAACAATATTATCTAGACTAAACAAAAAGTCTCAGGGCTCATATGAGTATGAAAACTGCTCAATTTATTGAGCAAAAGTGATATGAACTTATTAACAAAGTTTAACAAAGATAGCAGACAAAAATAGTCTCGCTACTAAAAGCAAGTCACTTAACTTCTTGGTGTCTCAGTTTCCTCCTCTGTAAAGTGGGGGCAATAATTCCTACCACCCCCTCCCCCAGGGTTATTGTGAGAATTCACTGAGTACAGGGTATGGAGCAGGCCCTATACAGATAACTATTATTATTATATAGAAATAAAAAGAAAATTTTCTTCTCAATGAGACTGCCCACTTCTTGAAAGCAAGGGTCATTTCTCTTAGTTCTTTTACATCTTAAATACCCCCACCTAAAAATAAAATAAAATAAAATAAAACCCAACCCCCCCCCCAAAAAAAATCCTCGAGAATAGTACTTAGCCAATAGTTATGTTCCCATAAAGCAAAGGGTTAGTCACTTCTTGCCCATTGCTCATTCCTTCCACTGGAGTGTGAAAAGTGTCAGAAGTCACCTGCCCAGCATGGGCAGTCATCGCCTTCATAGCATCATGCCGTCATTCAGTAGAATA